GCAATGGCGCGATCTCGGCTCACCGCAACCTCCGCCTCCTGGGTTCAGGCAATTCTCCTGCCTCAGCCTCCTGAGTAGCTGGGATTACAGGCGTGCGCCACCATGCCCAGCTAATTTTTTGCAGTTTTTAGTAGAGACGGGGTTTCACCGTGTTGACCAGGATGGTCTCGATCTCTTGACCTCATGATCCACCCACCTCGGTCTCGCAAAGTGCTGGGATTACAGGCGTGAGCCACTGCACCGGGTGACACTAAATTCTTTATGGATAAAAGAAACTCTCTTACTGTAATGTAATTTCTTTGCTTTCTAACCCCGTGGGAAGATGGAACTAAAAGGGTGAGAAAGTAACATACTCCTACTATGAGCCAAGTATTGTAATAGGTGTATAATGCTTTAATGATAATGATTCTTGCAATAAGTCTATGAAGCAGGAAGTAATAGCTCCATTTTAAAGAATTTGGCTCTTAAAGTGGTTAAATACAGTGCTCAAGTTTTTAGCTTCCAGTTATTGGCAGAGTTGGAATTGTAGCAGGTTTTCTAACTTTGAAGGAAAGACTTTAAAGGAGACTGTATAGAAAATCCTGCCAAGGGCAAATGTGAAGGGCCCGTGAAAGACACCTGAATTATTACTTATAATAATTCAGAAATATGTGAATGTCTGGTGCATACTGAAGAACTGTGAGAGGTTGTAAAAAAATCTATTCTATAAACACTCACAGAGGAATCAGCTAATTAAATAAGGGAGCGGCTTGTCTTTGGGCTAGGATATAAACCCCAGAACTTCCTGGGAGGCAAGGGCAGAGAGGGCGCCACCTGTCCTGGAGAACCTAGAACCCGCTCTAGAGACTTCGACTCAGCCCTATTTCTTTCCCCACACTCTAATTGGCTACTTTTCCCTGGGCCCTGCCTCCTCCTCGGTCTGGACCATTAAACAGCCAAGCCCTACCCAGGACCTGGATGCGGCCTCCAATCAGGTACCAGGCCCTCGAGTCCCTCTAAGGAAGCCCCCTCTCCACCAGCGAGGCGCTTTGCTCTCGTCCGTGATTGGCCAGGCGGCAGCATGGGTCCGCCTCCTTCTCTTCCAGATTGGTCAGCGGTCCTCAGGCGCAAGTCCCTCTCAGCCGGTCCCGCCGCTCTTCCCCTTGGCTGCGCGGTCTGTGGCGAGCCCGGTCCTCAGTGGCGAGGGCCCCGCCCCCTGTGAAGGCCCGCCCGGGAATTGGCGGCGGCGCTGCAGCCATTTCCGGTTTCAGGGAGGTGGGTGGGGTGCGGAGCGGGACTTGGAGCAGCCGCCGCCGCTGCCACCGCCCACAGAACCTTCCTCGCGCCTGGTGCTGTCAGGACGATGCGGCCGGGGCCGGGAGGCTGCTGCTGCCGCCGCCCGGTGCGGGCGAACGGCTGCGTGGCCAACGGGGAAGTGCGGAACGGATACGTGAAGAGCAGCGCGGCAGCCGCAGCCGCCGCTGGCCAGGTACTGGGGGCCCGGGCAGCGGGGCCGGGGTGGCCGTGAGGGCCGGCGGAGGGGAGGCCGGACGGGGTGAGGTCGCGGGGCCATCGCGGGGTGGGTGCGGCTCGCAGATGTGGGCGGCGGTGTCCCGGCACTGGCCCAACCTCCCCGAGCCCGGAAACTCAAGGACGGCACGGGGGCTTCCCACCCCTCCGCGCCTGGAGGTCTTCCTCCCCTCCCCCTGGAGTTCTGCCAGAAGTGTGTGCCGCTCTCAGGGGAGGCAATGAGGGATCCCTCGGACCCCGGTGGGAGCCACTCAAGGGCTCCCGAGGGTCCCTCCTCAACCCCCCGAGGTAGTTGCTTCCTCTTAAAGTCCTGCAGCTGTCCAAAGAGAAAACCACCCTTGGGGTCCTTAAGAGGCAAGGAAAGTTAGGTGGTGGTGTCAGATGGAAACACACCCAGTCTCTCCCAGCCACATTCTGCATTACCACGTTCGCTCCCCAAGCAGGACGTTGGTTGGAAGATCTGGCAGGAAATCCAGGCTGGTCCCTCGAAAGCATCACCCTCCTTACTCTGCCTGTGGTGAGACTCTACCCTATGCTCCAGGTTGAATTAGGTGGCCCCTTCGACCCTTTCCTGAACACGAGTGCTATCACACAAGGGGATTGTTTAGCCTGGTGGTGACTTGCGATGACTCTATACTAATTAGCCATGCTGAATCATCAACCACGTTCAGGCAGTTCTAAAATATTTTGAAAAGTTCTAAATTCAAGACAATGCTTATTATCAACCTTACAGTGCTGTGGACTGAAAGATATTCTGTTGAAATGAGTTTGCTTTTTTTTTTTTTTTTTTTTTTTTTTTTTTTAAGATTCTTTAAATTAAAAAAAAAATGCATGAAATGAGTTTTTAATGATGAGCCGGTTAAAAAGATGCAAGATCAGTATTTCTGGAAGAGAGTGTTGTGTTAATTTCCAGTTGACTTTAATACGTTTAAGTCTTGTACAGATATTAAGGAACACTTAAAAAAAAAAAAGTACTCTGTTCCCCCTTAGCAGCAGTGTGACTGTTGTAGTTTTGATAGGATGGTGGTCATAATTTGGCTTTAACATAAATATCTGGTAGGCTCCTCCCCAGATGATTAGTTATGATGGATAGACCTTTACTGTTTGGTGTGAATCAGAAAATAAAGCATTTCTCCAGGTCATGTTGAGATACTGAGACTGAGAGTTGAGGGGAAAAATACATAAAACAGACTTGACCTCCCCTGAAATCGTAAGATGTCAAAGCAGATCAACAGATTTGTAATACACAGTATTACAGTAATACACAGATCAAAAGATTTTTTTTTTTTCTTTTTTTAAAGATGGGGTTTCACCATATTGGTAGGGCTCCATATTTGTCTCGAACTCCTGACCTCAGGTGATCCACCCACCTCAGCCTCCCAAAGTGCTGGGATTACAGGCGTGAGCCACCAGGTCCGGCTTGTTTTCACTCTTAAAGAAATAATTGTGTGAGGGAAGTGATAACAATCAGCTCATAAGCAGTGGAATAGTCTGTTGTTTTCCTGGCAATGTAAATGACTTACAAGACAAAATTGCTATGGTATAGAATGTAACAGGGAAATTTAATGGGTAGGAGTTAGAAAATACATTGCAGGTGAATGAGTGAGGTTTTTTGTTTTTTGTTTTTGAGACAGTTTCCCTCTTGTTGCCCAGGCTGGATTGCACTGGTGCGATCTCTGCTCACTGGAACTTCCACCTCCCAGGTTCAAGTAATTTTCCTATCTCAGCCCCCTGAATACCTGGGATTACAGGCGTCTGTCATCACACCCGGCTAATTTTTGTATTTTTAGTAGAGATGGGGCTTCATGTTGGCTGGGGTGGTCTGGAACTCCTGATCTCAGGTGATCCACCTGCCTTGGCCTCCCAAAGTACTGGAATTACAGGTGCACTTGGCTCAGGTATGATTTTTTTTTAAATGAAAAAGGAAGTCAAGAGAAAGGTGTTCATACTTCAGAGGTGCTTTGTGTTCATATGCTCCTTTCAATCCCTATGCATTATGCTCTGATTTAGTAGCAAATCAAGGACCTCTCTGCTATAATCTCTTAACAATTTAAAATTTATAGAATAATATTTCTTTAGAGCTTGCCAATTAATAAGATGAAGAAATATCAAGGTACTAACATGGCATTTTAAAATCTGTATGAATAACATCATAACATCTGGTTGACTTTTGGGGACATGTTTCAGTAAAAGTTTCACTCAGGCACATTGCTGGTGTTTGGAAGAACGGTCTGTTGGAATGCTGTGAGGGCTGCAGTCCTTTCTAGAAAACTACACACCAGTCTTTTTAAAACAGACTTCAGATCTGGAGCTTTCTGCACTCTCAGATGGAGGAATATTGTCTGTGAATTTTTTTTCTTTCTTTTCTTATACAAAAGAGAGATCTTGGTAACTTCATGAGAGCAATACAATATGTTAACATTTTTTGAAGATTGTTTTCACTTTTTTTAAAGTGATGTGCTTGTGCTCCAACCTCTACCTATCTTTCCCTTCTTTCTGGGGGAAATGTTGCCAACTCTGCCATCAAGATATGCATACAGCTGTGTGTTATGCTTTTACTAAAATGTGAATTTAGAGTATAACAGGGTTGAGATGTAAATTCTTTTCCTCACATTTCCCACCATGTCTTTTAATGAACAGCAGAGAAGTCAGAAACCTTACACTCTCAAGAGTATGTTTCTGGCCGGGTGCAGTGGCTCACACCTGTAATCCCAGCACTTTGGGAAGCCGAGTCAGGCAGATCACGAGGTCAAGAGATCGAGACCATCCTGACCAACATAGTGAAACTCCGTCTCTACTAAAAATACAAAAATTAGCTGGGCGCAGTGGCAGGCACCTGTAATCCCAGTTAGTCGGGAGGCTGAGGCAGTAGAATAGCCTGAATCAGGGAGTCGAAGGTTGCGGTGAGCCCAAATCGCGATACTGCACTCCAGCCTGGCAACAGAGCAAGACTCCCTCTCAACAAAAACATACTCAAAAAGAGAGTATGTTTCTGTGCTTAAAGGGATGAATGAATGTATATAGTAAAAGAACAACTCTTGGATTTGGGTTTAGAATTTGATTAGCAGATATTGTGGTAGGAAGGAGTTATGAAACAATCAGACATTGCTGTTTAGTGATGACAGTAGACACACAATTTTCACAATAGTTGCAGTTGAACAAAAAAGCAGTAATTTTTCCTCTCTGCTATTCAAATAAGTGGGAGGAGCACCAGCCTTCATTTGAGGTAGTGTGGCAATTTGCCCCAGGGAAACTTTTATATTAGCATTGGAAAGAACCTTTGGGAGTTTATGTAATTCAGTCCTTTATCTCTTATTTGTAGGACTTTATTAAAACCAGTCTTCACAGAAAATACTATGCTATTTTTAAATATGTCTAGGGGATTTGCAGGAAGTTTTTCTCAGTAGCAAGTTGCATTATTCCATGATCTTAATTACCAAATGTCTTTCTGTAGATTTAACATTAGATTAAATAAATGCCATGTTTTGGTTGCACCTGAAATACAGTAGTTTTTTATATGTTTGTTTTTAAAACTCTATGTTAACAGCTCATTTTAAAAGAGCGTCCAGGCTGGGCTCGGTGGCTCATGCCTGTAATCCCAGCACTTTGGGAGGCCGAGGTGGGTGGATCACGAGGTCATGAGATTGAGACCATCCTGGCCAACATGGTGAAACCCCGTCTCTACTAAAAATACAAAAATTAGCTGGGTGTGGTGGCGCTCGCCCATAGTCTCAGCTACTCGGGAGGCTGAGGCAGGAGAACTGCTTGAACCCGGGAGGCAGAGGTTGCAGTGAGCTGAGATCGCACCACTGCACTTCAGCCTGGCGCCTGGCAACGGAGTGAGACTCTGTCTAAAAAAATAAATATACAAATAAAGAAAAGAGCTTCCATTTCTTCATAGAACTTTTGAGATTTAGATTTGCCTTTTACTTTCCTTATTTAAGTATGAAAGAAAAAAAATTACCTATCTTTAAGACAGTTTTGACTCTAACTTTTTTCCCTTTGGGTGTAATTTTAATGAGATATTGGAAGGATGAGAGCTCTCTGGCTGTCAGAATAAAAAATTCTATCTTGAGGAATTGGGGCAAAAGTCATGTTCTTATGTTAAATAATAAGACAAGCCAAAGTAGAAAGAACAAAGTGTTAGTCTTGCTATTTAGGTGAAGGCAAATAAATAACTAATGAAAGCTGGTTTACTAAATAGCTACTCGCTTTTGTTTCCACTGAGCGGAAACAGTAACTGGGGATTTCATGTGATAGTTAAGGAAAAGGAGAAGATAGTTATGAGGGAGAAACAGTAGAAATAGTTAGAATGGTCATATACTTGTTTATGTTTAGCAGGACCTGATAAGATACCACAAGGCTTTCAGAAATAACGTAATTACAACTTGTAGGACAAGATTTTTGTTTCCAGTGTTTTTGCTCTAAGGGGAAGCATATCTTGCATCTGAAGAATTCCAGAGTTATTTGAGGTACTCAGGAATGTTCTTTAACAGGAATTCTTGGGAAATGTGTCAACAACTGTGTTCTCAGGATAGTATTTTAGAACTAGGATGTTCAGAGGTCAGACTTGCCCACTGTTTAGGGTTTGCCCAGGTGTCATAGAAACTTGCACTGCTTTGAGCAAGACAGTTAATTGCTTGATTCAGTTAGATTCAATTTTTTGAAAGAAAGAAGCAGTGTTTATTGGTAGAATAGGCAATTCAGAGGGATGGGTAGAGCCAGTGTTTGCATTCTGAGTGGGTGTGCCATACTTGATTAAATAAATGGTTTGTGGACTCAAAGTCAGTTCCCTTCTGAGTAGTTTCTAAGAAGCTTCTGTAATATAATTTGCAATTTGTGGCTGATTAAAAAAGTAAGTCCTTTGCTCTTGACCCATTTACTGTTAGAAAATTTATCTTAAAGACTATTTTTCATTACAAAGCTTGAGGCAGCTAGTTTTCCTTTTTTTAAAAAAAA